AGGCCCACTCAGATGCAGGCAGGCAACACAATGGGTGGGCTTGGCCAGGTGTCAAATTCTAGAGGACAGGGAGGACAATGGAGGGATGGACATGGCTTCCCACCCTCCTAGACTCAGAGCCCTCCATGACTACTCTTTCCAAAATTAATTTTAAAACAGTTTATTTTGAAGCAACTTCAAACTCACTGAAAAGCTGGGAGAGCATCTATGTGTCCTTTTGAATGTCACTGCACCAGAGCCTTAGGCTTTCTCCCTTTTATGTCAGTATATACATACCTTATTATCAACTCCTTGAGCCAAGAAACCATAAGCTAACAAACATTCTAAACTCCCCACCAGACATTTCTCCTAAACACGACCATCTCTGTATCAGTAATATTCAAATAAGGAAACCATCTTGATACAATAGTGCCATCCAATCTCAAGTCCTTTTCAAATTCTGATGCCTGTCTCAATAGGTGGTCCACAGTCCCATCAAGAATCATACAGGACGCTGTGGTTATGCGTCTTTAATTCTGTTTAATCTGGGTAGTGCCTCAGGTTTTCAATTACTGGGGACTGAACCTATGGTCCCATGCTTACCAGTCCATCACTACCAGAAGATGCAGCCTTAATTCCCAGTTCTTCCAGTTTCAGGTTGCAACTCTGCAGGTCAAACAAGAAATGCTTGAAGCTTAGATTTACTACCTGCTTTTCTGACATCTGTGGTATGAAAACGTGCATACTGGCATTAACATTTCTTAGGGCAAACCTTTTACATGAGGAAAAACATACTCAAAAGGTGGAGAAGTATGTTGTTACATGATGAATTTTCACAAAATAAGCCTAACTTGTAAATGGTTTCTGGGCTAAGGATTCAGATTCTTATGCCCTCAGGTGGATCTTGACTTTTTCTGAGGTTTACCTGAGTAAATGAGATGGAAGGTTCCTTTCTGTCCAAGATTATATGAGATGTTGTCATATTATGGCACGTGGCAACAGTTTCCTCTGTAGAGCAATTGGTCTGGAGTCATCTATTTGCTACAGTCCCTCTGATGGTGGGTAGATACCTCAGTAGCTCCTTAGCAACTAAACAGGAAGACACCCTACTACTCCAAGCACACCCCTAACACTGTTTAGAGTACTCCCTTCATACTCCATGGCGCCAGTAAGGAGTTACGTTGTTCTTGTTGGCTCTAACCAGAATAGAGGCTAGATTCAGTCATAATGCGACATACTTTCTCCTAAAGCAAATACAAAAAAAAAAAAAAAATAGCAACACAGTAGCGACTCTGGAGCAACCATTCGGTTTGCTGGTCTCACGCGGTTAAACTGAGATGTGGTCTTCTCTGGAAGTTGCAGTCTAATGCAATACACTTTGCTATGAACTTTCCTCTTCACTATTTGCATTTGTTGTCTGCCTCCTGGCACTCTGTTCTTGTTCTTATTTGGTGTTTATTATAAAGACCCTTTTCAATGGTTTATACCTTGAGCAGGGGACTCCATCCTTAGCAAAAAGATAATGAATCTTCCCCCATCACAGAGATGTATAATATCTGAGTTCTTACCTGTAGGACTAAGAGTGCCCAGGAAAAAAATTGTATTATGTGTATGAGTATGCATATGTGTGTTTGTTTAATTATATAGCCCATGTGTGGCTTGAGCTTACAAACTCCTTGCCTCAACATTCCAAGTACTTTGGATACAGGTGTGTGCCACAATGCTCACTTGTGAATTTACTGTTATTCATGACACTTTTTTGTCCTAGAAGAAGAGGAGAAGGAGGAAGAGGAGGAGGAGGAGGAGGAGGAGGAAGAGGAGGAAGGCTCTAGCAGATTCGGTGTTTTTAAACTAGAAATTCTGGCTCTACTCTGCTGTCAGAAAGGGGTCTACTCCTCTTACACTGGCTGTTTCTGTCATAGATACACACATGATCTAAGTGGAGAGAGGACTGGAGGTAGGAGATGTGCCTTCTCCCAAAAGTGAAAATCTAGCCAAGCAATGAAGCCATTGGTAGAAAGATATTGCTCCTAAAACACTGGAATTTAAAAAATAACCCTCTAGCTACTGAACCTTCCACATCGCCACCAAAACATTCTAAGGCAGAGAGTTAATCGTTTTATCTCTGTACCCTGTACATATGGTACACATATATGTTCGTGTGGATGTGCATAAGCCTGTAAGAAGGCCATAAGTTGCCTCAGGCATCTTCCTCTCTATCACTCTGTTTTATTTTTTGAGGCAGGATCTCTCACTGAATGCAGAGCTCATAGATGGCTAGAACTGTGGGTCAGCAAGACCTGAGATCCTCTTGTTTCTGCTTCCCAATGCTGGTGTTAAGGTGCCATTAACACCCAGCTTTTTACCTGGCTGCTGGGGATCCAAACTCAGGTCCCCATGCTTACCTAGCTGTTTCTCTGCCCCTAGATTCTATGCTTTAAAAGTCCAACACAGTGGGAGGACAATAACGACCTTGGTGGCAAAAGAATGACAAACATTGACCTGGCCAACAGGGCAAGGCCAGTATCAACTGTGTTAAGTCATGTTGCAAGTATGGGCCCTCCTTGATAAGCTGCTCTAAAGATGGCTATTTATCAACTCTGTGGCCTTCCTCCCAGTAGGCCCTGAGTTCTCCAGACTAAGTCTGAACAAAAGAGAATAGCTAAACCCCAACAGAAAGAACCCTACAATATACTCATCTAGTGACCTCCAAAGCAGTCAAGGTCATAAAGGACAGTCTCAGTGATATGAACTTAGGCAGCATGACAGTTAAATTAGCGTGGTCCACTAGATGAAAACAGAAAAGAGACATGAGGCTAACACCAAGGGAATCTGAATAAAGCGTGCACTTCATCTCTAACATGTAGTGTTATTGCAAGGAGTGACATATGCATCATGAAGTTATCATCTTAACACTCAAGAAAACCGAATATCTGTGGCCATGGGGCCATGTGTAAGCTCTGTGTAACGGGTCCTCTTACAAATACAGTTTATGCTACACTACACCACTAGACCTCTACACTGCTGTGAGGGCTTCCTAAAAGCCAGAGACCAAAGTGGGCTCTAGAAATGGTTTGTGGCTATTCCGTTGGGGATATTTTAGAAGTCTTCCAAATCAGAACAAGAGAGACCCTAGGTTTAGGCTTAGGACCTCCTGTTGAATATTGTCAGTTTCCCTTTCTGATAGAGACTTGACTTGGGGATCAATGTACCCCCTCCTAATCAAGGGCTCTTGCTAGCACTGTGTTCAAGCCTGGGAAACCCTGAGCAATACACATTAGTTCTGTGACTTTTTACTAGTCTCTAAAATGAAATCATAAAAGCACCTGCCTTATGGAATTGTGGTGAGGATAAGTAAGTTCGCATAGGCATAGCATTTAGCACGATGTGGCACTAAGTAATAAGTACTCTATCAGTACTGTATCTGGTCATGTCTGCAGGCCTTCTTCTGTCTAAGGTGAAATGTGGATCAGGATAGTACTTACCTCACAGAGCTATGGCCAGAGTGGGTCAGAATAGATGCTCAGTTTCACAGCCTAGATCCTAGGCAAACCTCAGCATGGTTCAATTATTTACTATCTATATTTACTATCACCAGTAGGACTGTGGATCTGGATCCAGGATCTGGTCCTCTGTAAGAGCAGTTCACAGATGGTAGAGGCAGTCATGGGAAACTCGAAGGCCCAACCACAAGTGTTTCTAAATCTAGAGGCCTCCAGGAGTTGGAGATTCAGAGTGTCTTTCTCACCCAGGGGCTGGGTTCATTGGTTAAGATGTAGGGGTTCCCGCTGGCCAGCTGGACCATAAGTGGTCCTGAATAAGTGCTGGTTGCTTCAGCAAGTCTATGATGTAAGAAATACTTTTCTGACAGAAATTTCTTTCTACAAAGACAATAAAATAAAAAGAACAAACAGGCTCGCAAAGAACCTGACTGTCAAACCCATCAACCTAAAGTGTGGAAGCCAAAGGTATTTCCCATGTTGTCAAGGATCAACTGGAGGAAGACCTTAGTCTTCTTTTCTCCTTCCCAAACAGCCTCCCAGGGATACAAATTCCTGTCTTGGATGGCTATAAGTTTATCACATCTGTCTAGATCAGTCATTTATGACCCAGCCTCAGTTTCTCTGTCTGGTAAAACACAGCTTTTTCTAGCAACCACTCAATGATTTCACTCTTGGTAAGAAGTGGAATTTTCATTGTGATAATGTAACTCAAAGCTTTAGAAGAAGCAGGACCTGGTTCTGCAGGCTTAAAATGGAGATATAGCAAGAAGCTATCTTTGTGAAGAGGCATGGTCTGTCTATGGTCCAATTCAAGATGCAAAGGGCACTGTGTCTGCACATGGGTGACTGTGTACATTCCAGTGGTGGCAGTGCTGGTCATTATTTTTTCTTCCTACATTTTCCATCTCTTTCCTAGAAGGCAATCATGCTTTCCCATTAGGAACTTCCTTCCTACAGGCAATTCAGCTGCCTGTCCACTGCATAGCCTCACCCTCTCAGCTCCCACACAAAAGGAAGGATTCAAGATCTAAACAGAGCTGAAGTGTCTTTCCCTCCTGGAGACACCTGTAGATACTGAAAAGGTAAAGGTCTTCTCTTGAAACCCCGAATGCTCAGAGACATCTCTGTTACCAAGGAGAGAATGCAGCAGACACTAAAGCCACCAGCACAGTAAGGGATGCAAAGGAGGAGAGGGAGGAAAGGGAGGAATGAGGAGAGGCAGAAGAGGAAGAAGAAAGACAGGGAACATGGAGGGTGCAGGTAAAAATACAGGAACGGGAGAGTTCCGGAATATGGAGGAGCTGGCCCTTGATCTAACTTCCTGAACTGAATTTGTATGTCCAGCTGTCCATCTTGGCCTTTCAAGTTAAGGGAGACAATGACTTTCCTTCCTCTCTTCCCCCTCTCCTTTTCTTCTTTTGGCCTATATGTTCTTCAAACTGTAACCAGGATTCCCACTCCTGCCCCTGCAAGAGTTAGAAACAGTTCTATGCCATATTTGTGAAAGATGGGATGAACTCACTTCGGAAAGAAACAAGGTTTATTTGATGAATATAAATAAGACAATCGGCACAAAGTACTCCTCATACACACAATAACAAAGTTATGAGCTGTACATATCTTGTACATGGTTATTTCTACTAGACACGAGGTTACAATGACTGGCTGATACATGCCCGTTGGTAGTTTCGAGGGTTCCTTAATTTTATTTATTTATTTTTATTTTTTTAATTTTTTTTCATATCGATGTCCATAATCACATGGATCAATATCACAACCCACATGCCACTCACTTGAAGAAATATTACAAGAAGCACTATCAAACAAGGGTCTCGGGGAATTAGATACACGGACCCTTGGCAGCATTCAAACAGCGCTCTACACAAAGACAGTGCAGCGAGAGCTTATGTCAATACGCTTAAGGGCTCATCATAAACACTGTTTAAAAAACAAAACCCACTTCCAAATGAAAGTTGACACGCTGTGAACGTGCATACTTAATACACAAAAATCATTAAATACAAAATTGAGACTGTATATAGAAATCAAATAGGGTATAAATACAAGCCTGCTTTTGCACAAGGTAAGACTTAGACCAACTTCTCCTAAATTGTTAGCCCAAACTTTTTGTTTGTTTGTTTGTTTGTTTGTTTAATTTCAACTACACTATGATTAGAAGGGAACCTGCTAAAGGTTTCACAAAGGAAATATCTGCTGAACAACACAGTGTTTGTTGTAAACCCAGACACTATTTTCAATGCGTGGAAAGGGATGTTTTTGTTGTGACCCCGCAATTATCGGAGAATGTTACACAAAATGGGGAAAGACGCTGTCCTAGATAGAATTTGATTTTGCAGGGACGGAGTGCTATGCTTGCATGAAAGTAAGATCGGTAATACTTTCAACCCACAAAAGTGGGGAGAAGAAATGATCCCCAAACATCAGCTGTGTCAAAATTGGCACGAGTGTAAAGACAGCTAACTACACAGAGCTGATCAGTTTGCTGCTATTTCACCGACCCTGCTTAGCATACTGGTTCCCCTACTACCAATTTCAAGTATTTAGTTGCAGAGTTCAGGCCAGGACCTGGTGGCTGGAGGATGTGAGGACTTCTCTGACCACATCCACACCTTACCAAGGGACTGGTCTGTGGCTTGGGTTTTCACTGCAACCCTCTGCCAAATTGTACTAAATAAACTTGCAAAGAAGTCTGCTCCCTTCTGTAACAAAGACCAAAATCCTTTTTATAGTTAAAGGACAAACTTTTTAAACATGAATGTATTTGGATCATTTATGTAAACATAAGCTTTACACAGGTCACTATTTACTGACAAGAATGAAGTCCAAAGCAAGAAACCGACTTGAATGCATTACCCCCGGTGCACCAGGAATAAAGGGTGCAGCCCAGGGACAGTTTCCTTTCCCCAGCAAATAAGGGGTTTGTCTTTTAAATATCTCTATGGCTCATGAGAGAGGTCCAGAGTTAATTGCACCAACATTTTGGAAAGTAATAATGATTAGAGTCAATGCAAGATTTCAGCAACTTCTGCTTAGAACCCTTTCCACAGCAGCAAAGAAAGACAATGGTATTTATTAAGGCCACTCATGCTTAAATTCATTGTTTGTCCTTTAGGAATGCAGGTGGGTGGGAGGGTTTCTCCCATTGACAAGAAAATGGGTCAGTACAAGAGCTGCACATTTACCAGGCTCAGTTGTGTTTTTTACGAAGTTGTAAGGACTAATACTTTTTAATCTTCAGAGGAAGCAGCAGGAGTTGAATTCTCCTTAGTACCTTGTCACTGTATGCAAAAGACCTTGGAGTGAGGTCTCTTCCCCTGGCATGTGCTCTAAGATAAGGACTCTGTATCCACACAGGTTGTATAATGCTATTTACAGACATACAGCTTTTGTGATTATTCTTCATTCATCAATGTTTTCATGTCTGATGCTGAAAATGCTTTGAAATTCATGTTGGAGACATTTTCTTAAAACAACAAAAAAAACCAAAAACAAAACAAAACAAAAACAAAAACAAAAAAAGAATGAGAAATGACCCTTCATTTACAAAAGACCCAGGCTCACACTGCTTGCACGGCATTTGGCTCTTGAAACATGAATGAACCTCAGCTTCGGCATGGAGACCTGCATGTATGAGAAGGAGAAGAGCCTGAGGCTAGGTCATGTCCCAGCCGAAGGGTTCAAGGAGCATGTGGAGTGGATATGCAGGTGCCTCAGGCTTTTGTCATTCTCTGGTACATGAGCAGGACAAATAAAATTATGAATGACCAATTTAGATGTGCCATGCACTGTCAGAGACACACACCATGTTCTCATAAGGCGATTTCTTGGCAAGTTATTAGTGGTTTAAAAAAATTGATTTCATTTCCAACCTGGCCCAGAGGTAACTACTGATAATACCATTCAATGTGGCTCCTTAACCCACAGATTAAAGAAACGGAGGAGGGTGAAGGCTCTCGATTTTTGGTCTTTTGTTTTCTTTGTCAAACACTCCATGCACCGTGGTATACAAACACCACCAGCAGCACTTGTTCACTGCGAGCTTAGATTGTCTGGTAACCTAATGTGTTAGGACCACTTAGACTGACCCGCAGGACAATGGGAGACAGAGCTAGCTGTCCAAACGAAGCTGAATCCACACTCTGAATCCCATGCAGTGCCCATGTATCCAAGAGACGAAGCAACAGGAATACAACGCTCATTACGCAGCTTTCCTCAGAGATGCTCACTTCGTAAAGGTCCAAATCCTCGGTAGGAAAGGAAGGGGCTGTCATTTTTCTCCTTCTTCATACTCTGTCTTTCCCTTACACCCAAAGCCGGACAATCGAGGAGAACAGAATCGAGCAGGAAAGTGAAGGCGAAAACTCCCCTTCTTTTCGGACCTGCTGCTGCGGCTGCTGGTGGACACTGAAGAGAGTCAGGCTGCAATAGATTATCAGGATATTGCTGCAGTGCTGAGCTATCCTTTTAGCCAACCCTTCTGACAGCTGCAACGAGAAAGCACATGATTTAACAGGGAAAGACACTGATGGTGATATCTGCCATCCCAGGGCAAAGGCTCTCCTACCCTCTCCCTACCCTCATCACGATCACTCTCATTGGTTGGAGTCACATTTTCCACAATGATTACGGTTTTGCTTTTCTTTTAACTCAACTCAGAGAGATTAGAATCGGAAAGGCAGTCAATGTGCCAAAAGCTTTAACAGTCACTTATAAACATGTGACAGCAACAATTTCAAAGAACTGTAAAGCATGCCGTGACTGTAGGAGCTGGCAGTTCCATTCATATGTATACAAGCAAAGAAACCCAAAAATCTGAGCTCAAACAGACTCTCCACGTGCACAAGCACTCCAAGTGTCATTATTCACAACAGCCCAAAGTGTCTGTCAACAAATGAGTGGATAAGCAAAATGTGGTGGCATATATCATACGGCTACTGAAGCTGCAGCTGTGGCCATCTTCTATGTGCATGCTCAACTGTGTCATGATCGTTCAGACGCCCTTGGAAGGCTGGTTGTTTCCAGTGTACAGACACAGTGTGGGTATCTGAAGACTGTGGCAGGCAAGGGAGAGTGCAAGTATGCACCAGGCACACACGCACACACACACACACGCATGCATGCACCCACACTTTTTATCTCATTTTTACTTTCTGAGACAGGTTCTTGCATTATGGCCTGGGCTGATTGAATTTATGATCCCTGTGAGCGTGTCCCACCATGGCTTGCCCTACACATCGCTTTTGATATCTACCCTTGTATGTCTGGTTTGGCAGTTGATGCACAGGTCTGCCCAAGTCCCACCTGCTGATGAGAAAGTCAAAGATCTCTTGGTGTGCTCAGATAAGCATCCATTTCGGGGCATCCTTAAGCAGTGTTGATAGAAGGAAAGGCTTGGATGAACTCAGCTAAATCATACTTCGAGGAGTCTGGTTAAAAAACTTGAATCAGGGCACACACACACACACACACACACACACACACACACACAAATGACTTTTGCAGAGCCAGAAATTTAGGGAGTTTCTAGGGCAGATCATATTACTCACCCTGGCAAATAAAATCTCTGCAAACTTTGTATGAAAATTGTAAGTCTGAGCACGCTTTCTGCTTCATGAGCTCTGCATAGCTCTCATTCTTTCGTGTGCTAAGCATTCCTTAATCATCCCTTTAAAGGGCTGACCAATGTATTAAAAGGCCATATAATGAAAAGAGAAAGGGAAACCTGAGGTAGTATTAAAACGCACAGGTTGTTTTCTTTACAGATGGGGAACTAAGTGAATAATAATTATGGTTGATGTCCAATGTCCTTGATACTTTTCCAAGATAAAGTAGCAGAGAACAATTGTTTATTCAGTTGTGAGATAGGTTTCCAGCTGGGTACCAGGTCACAGAGCAGAACACAAGTCTCGAGACCACAGTGTTCTGCTTGGGGAAAGGTAATAATTGATAATAGATAATTAAATTAAATTGCAATGATTTAATTAATATTGATTTGTTATTTATCAATTCTGTAATATAAACATAGAACATCTCAATTATTTATTAATCATGATAATTAATAATTAAACAATTCCTGATGGTTTAAATATTGATTTTTAAATGCCAATTAGAAAAAAAAAAGATGTAAACAGCAGAAAGAACAAGTCTCGTACCTGTTAACACATTTAGTGAGGACTACCTCAGAGCCCTTATGCCAAATACGTCTTCGGCTATATCTTTGAGGCCCTGCAATGCTTCTTGATTTTTTTCATTGGAAAGACAACAAAAATAACCAGTCTCATGGATATAGTCAGAGAACTATCTTTAACAGTCTACCATGTAAACAGTTTAGTTTGCAAATAAAATGATTATTTTTTAAAATGTTGCCACCCTTCAACAAAATAGCCTATTCACCAAGAGGCTTAGATGAGTCTGGAGGAAATAAACCAAACGAAACTTGACAGAACATTGCCAGCAGTTACAAATAGAGATCACCACTCCTTGAGACACAAGCGAGAATGTACTTTCAAAACATTTAAAATGGGATCCAGCCTTCCAACAACGGCGACCAGGCCACTCCCCACTGTAAGACTATTCCCAACTTGGCTGATCCTCCGTCACATGGATGCCCCAAGTAGCTGCCCCTAACCTCTCCAGTAGTCTCTTGCAAGTGCCAGCTCTGTGCTCTGGGGCAGTTGACAGCTCTACTGTCCTAGTGATTGCCACTCTGATGCACAGCTGTTTCTGGTGTGCCGACCTTGTTCATAGCTCTTTGCAATCCTGCTGTATTTGGCAAGATGGAGGACCTGTGGCCAGGCTGGCAAGGTCTCCTGTAGGTTCTGTCTGCCCTGATGCTCTGCCTTTCAGTTTCTCCATGCTGTAGCCTTTGGCAACACTACATGGCTCTTCTCCTGATTGTCCATATACACTTAGATCATTTCTCCAGTGGACTGATCCCTCTTTACTCCTCATTCTCAGCTTAGATGGTGTGCAAGCCAGGAAGTCTCCTGTATGGCCCCCTTACTGTGAATTGCCTGTACTTGCCTTGCCCAGTATGGTAGTGGCTGGCCTCATGTGGCCACTGAACGTTCAAAACATGTCTAATTCAAATTGAGACATGCTTAAAGTGTGAAATGTGTACCAGATTTTGAAGATTTAATGTGGAAAAAGGAATGTACACTATCTCAGGAACAATTTCAGATGATACTGACTTCATGTCAAAATACTTTGGATGTACTGATTCCAGTAAAATCCACTGCCCTAAACTCTACTCGCTTCTTGTCACTTTAAACATTCGACTACTAAGAAACTCAGCGTTATAGACACAGCTTGCCATTTTATCTCCCTGGTCACTTATAGCCCAGATGGTAAGCTCAGTGAGGGCGAGGGCAGGCTGCTCTTTCTCATCCTGCACCCCAAGTTTTATGCAGTTCCTGGAACAGGGTGATTTCTCTTTCATTCCACAGATACTAAAGATTAGAGTAAGTTCTAAAATGTCTTCCCTACCCAGCCTCCCCTGGAACAAGCCTTTCCATCCTAACCCCTGGGTTTTGGAGTGAACTACAGTAGACCATGATAATAGTAACCCAACTAGAGCTACTAAACAGTTTGGTTTAGACGAATATTCAGGAAGTTTGCCCAAACAGAAGTAGCTTCAGGACAGGGACCCTTCATTAGCATATCTTTTTCTTCTGTCAACCTTACAAAAGAGAAATTCCTGTGTGAAACCTGTGCTGAGAGAAGAGAGCCATGGGCCTGAGGAACGACAGCTTCCTTTAAGAGTGATTCTCATCCTGTCCAATGCTGCGACCCTTTACCAGTTCCTCATATTGTGGTGACCTGCAGCTGTAAAATTATTCCATTGCTACTTTGTAACAGTAATTTTGCTCCTGTTATGAATTGTAATGTAAATATCTGATATGCAGGATCTCTGATTATGTGACCCCTGTGAAAGGGTCGCTCAACTCCTAAAAGGGGTCATGACCCACAGGTTGAGAACTGATGCCTTAGGCAATGAGCCTCTCCACAGCACAGCTGACAGCCAGCAAGCAGGAAGAACCTCAGGCCTAGGCCCACAAGCAAGAGGAGTCAGCTAGCAAGCTGAAGGAGTCTGGAGCCCACTACTCCAAGAGTCTCCCCCTTTCGAGTCCTCTAATGGCTGCTTTGATTTGGGTTGTATGAAAAGCTATACGGAAAGCAGAAGAGACCTTCTGGACTTCTGTCAGGGAGCTCATTAGCATACCAAAGCGCATGCGCATGCTGGTATCCAGGCTCTCTCAACATCACAAATACCTGTTACAGAGTCCATGCAGCCACCCTGGCTCCTCAACATGACCCCTACCCAGAGTTCTCCAGCTTGGAGCTTCCCTCCCACAGCTTCTCCCTCTTAGATAACCCTGCTATTTTGGCTACATGCTGTTTTTTGCTCTGTCTCTTTTTCTCATTGTTTCTCTGTCTCTCTTTCCTCTCCCTCCTTCCTCTCTCCTTACCTGCCCGGCCCCAGCATCCACCCATCCACCATGGCCCAGTCCATTATGCTGGTCATATTTAGCCTACTTCTTTTTCTCTCTGCTCCAGACTCTTCCACATGCCTCTGTCTGTACTGTGGCCTCATATCTACAATACAAACCTCTGTCTCAACCATACCTTTGGGTGATTCTGTCCTCTTTCTCTATGGAGGTGCACATGGGCAATGTGCCTGGCACTGGTGACAGTGATAATGAAGAACACAGACAAAGCTCACATGCTCATTGAACCTGTACTCTCATGGGGAGACAGACATATGCAGACATACAAACTGACACATGAGCAAGGTTTTCAATCTTTGTGCCCTGAGGGAGCAAGCATCTATGGTCAGGAAGTATACATTTTATTCATTGATTATGGACAACCAGGAAGCAGATAGCTCTGATTTTGGATAGGAGATAGGGGGAGAGAAAAAAAAGGCAGATTGACGTCTTATTTATATACTCGGAGCTCGTTTTTGCACCCAAGTACCCAAGCAGAAGTAAAGACAAACATCTGCAAGTGTACGCATAGCAGAATTATTATTAAGCATCGATATTATTATTGATGTCTATCATAGAAGGTATTTAAATTTTTCTCTAGTAGATTTTATTTTTTTAGACATTTTTAACCAAAGAATGTGGAACTGGTATCATATTAGAATGCAAAGCTAACTCCTTCTTGGGAAGAAAAAATCCCTGTTTGGTGGTACAGCAGCCTTTGGCTTGACTCTAGGTAGGGTGCAGGAGAGAAAGGGGATAGTCGGGCACAGCAGGGAGATTCTGGCCCAGGACTGATACCCCCAGGACAGCTAGCCATAAATGTGCCTTCAGACTGTTTTTCTTTGGAATAAAGACACCTGCCTGGTTATGGCTTTCTTCTCCTGCCCTCTCCATAGTGATTTGCAGAAACAGGCTGAGAGAAAGGGGTCTTTGGTAAACACAGAGGGGTTAAAGGGGAAACTGTTTAATAACAGTAGTAAAATGCAGGCTATTTTTGA